AAAAAAACAGCCTTGCTGGTCTGATAGAGCCTGGTGAAACTCCTCAGACTATGGCCCCTGGCTGCCCTTCAGGTCTGGAATTGAACTCCTGTGGCTTCCAGTCAAATGAAAGACAGGCATATGGGGTGAACATTTACATCAGGTAAATACACCCCTTGGAGAGACCAATCATGGGAAAACAGAAGGACAGTATATGCATAGGGAAGACCACTCAGGGGGCAGGATTGCATGGAAGGGAAGGACACAGTGAAGAGGTACCCATAGGGGCAAAGTGAGAAGAGAGCTGTTACACTGTGGGAAATTGCAGTCAGTGTCATGAGACAAAATTTGTGTGAACTGCTGTGTGGAAAATGAAATTGCTGTGTAAACCTTTCACCCAAATCACAATAAAAATTTTTTTTAAGTGATATTTTGTTGAGAATATACATAGCAAAACATATACCAGTTTAAGTTTCTACATGTGCAATTCAGTGACATTGATTTCATTCTTTGAATTATGCAGCCTTCTCACTCTCCCTTTCTGAGTTGTTTCTCCTTCAGAAACATAAACACCCTGTCCCCTGTAAGGTTCCTATATAATCTATGTTGCTGTTGTCAGTTTGATCCCATATAGATAGTGCCTATGGTTATTTATTTATTTATTTTCCTTTGTGCATAGAACTTATTTACAGCAGTGATTCTCAAGTGGGAGTGATTTTTACTCTAGTGGACATTTGGCAATATCTGGATATGGGGTTGCAATGAGTCAGAATCTACTTGATGGCAGTGGGTTGGGTTTTTATATATTTTTGACTCACAGCTGGGGAGTGGGGTGGGGGTGCTACTCCTATGTAGTGAATGAAGGCCAGGGATGCAGGCAAATATCTTGTAATGCATAGGATAGCCTCCACAGGAGATACTTATTTGGCCTAACATGTTAGTAGTGGTCAGGTTGACAAACGCTGCTTTAGAGTAAGTTAAATGTTTCTATCATGTCTGTCAATGTTTAAAGATTTGTTGGCTCACTTTGAGAGCCCTGAATTGAATAGAAATTTGAATATCTAACAGTTTTGTGATGCATATTTTCCTTCTTTGAATATATATTTCTGTCTTTTATTTGTATAAGTAAATTTTATTGGAAAATTATAGACCATCTTGCCTTAGCACTATTTGAATAATAATTTAAATATTTTATGACTTTTCTGTCTCTGCAGAATCTGTTTATGGGATCTGAAAAAGGTAAGTTGGTTTTTTTTGTTGTTTTGGTGGGAAAAATTCTTTCATTTCCTTTACTATAATTTTCCAAAGGGAAAAAAATAAAATTGTGTTACTCCTACCACATGATTGGGTGGGACTATGCAAATGAAGTGCTATGGTCTATCAAGGGGATTGTACAGCTTCCTAATATAAATAAGGTACACGACACTCTTATAGAGGTGAGAGGGTGCAAATAAGGTGTTTGGAGCCCTAGTGGGGGGATTGGTAAGATTTGCCATCTTATTAGGCTTAAAGTGAGCCAGCCCACAGACAGGAAGGAGGGACTTCTACCAAGAAAGGAGAGCCAGGAGTGGAGTGTATCGTTGGACCTAAGAAGCTCCTAGACTCAAGAGACAAGAGAGAGAGCTTTGTAACACTGTAGACAGCTCAAGATGGTGAGAAGCAGTGGCAGAGATAAAATAGCAGCAGAACCAGGAGAGCAGTGCACGATGATGGCACAGTAGGCTTCCTGGTCCACAGAGCAAGGCAGTTACAGTGGCATACCAGTCCACAAAGCGACAGACCTGAGAGCCTTTGGACAAGAGGCTTGTTGGCAGAATGGAGTGTTTCTGGGCCCTTAGCAGCAGAGATAAAGAGCTTTATAACACTTGACCAAATAGAGCAGAGGCCAGGCCCAGGGGCCAAGGGAGAGGCTTGCTTGGGGGTATGGCTGAAAAGCTGTTCTGACCCAAGAACTGTATCCTGAGTTATTCCTGATCCTGAATTGTAACCTGTTACTTCTGTAATAAACCTCTTAACTAGGAGTATTATCTATGAGTTCTCTGTGGCCATTGTATTGAATTATTGAACCCAGCAGAGAAGTAGAGAGTGTCATAGAAAAGACGGTTGGTATCAGAATTGGTGAAATGATTGGAGGGTGGAGAGATATTTGACCCCCACCTCATAGGAATCAGCCTTGGATAGTTGATCTTGACTCTCTTCCCTCCTTTTGAAGTTAGAGAAGGTCAGATGCCACCTGCCATTTTCACGTGTTACTAATCTTGATGTTTAATTATTTCTTAGGTTGTATATAGACATAGAACTAAAATGGGTATTCAGAGAGTGAAAGAAAAAAAGATAAAAGAAGTTACTGGGAGTAAAACATAAACTTAGTGCCTCTTACACCAGCCAAGTAGCTGTTGAAATTCCCCTTCAGAGATCTTTTCCTTTGCCTTAAGTCTTTGTTCCTTATAAAAGTGCATGCATGTTGGTGATAGGGTCATATACTCAGTCTAACCAGCTGCTGATCCCTGAACACAGCAGTTTTCAATTTTCTCTGTTGAGACCCACAGTCCAAAGTCCTGGTGCAGGTCTCTCAAATTGGCTGCGCAGTAGAATCACCTTGGGAACTTGTATACAAATTTATACCATTGGGCCCCATTTGATTTGTTGAATTAATCTTGAATGATAGGACTGAGGAATTCCTTTCTGGAAGCTCCCAGATGATGCTCAAGCCACTGACATAGCAGCTGCAACTCTCCCCCTTCTTTGCAAGTTGAGGCAGCACATTTGAAATCAAGGAGGTAGAAGCAACTTTATTATGGGCATAACTTTGAATGACCCCAAACCATAACAAAGTAAATCATACCATTGCATATTCACCATTTTTGAAAAAAAAAAAAAAAAAAAAGTTCACAATACCAAGTGTTGGTAAGAATGTGAAGCAGTAGGAACTCTGATGCTGTTGGTGGGAGTATAAAAGGTATAATCATTTTATAAAACAGTTTTGCAGTATCTCTTAAATTGAAGACAGGCCAATTTTTGATCCACCAATTTCACTTCTAAGATATACACTAAGTCAGAGATTAGCAAGCTATGTCCAGGGCCAAGTCCAGCCTGTTCCCTTGTTTTTTGTAAATAAAGTTGTTTGGAACACAGCCATGCCCAGTTGTTTACATATGTCAGTGGTTGCTTTTGTGCTATAGTGGCAAAGAGGAATAGGTGCAAACCCTAAAATATTTCTATTTGGTCCTTTAAGAAAAAGTTTGCAAGCCCTGCTCTAGAGCCCTGATTCTTAAAGTGTGGTCTAAAGGCTAGAAGCATTGATGTCACCTGGGAGCTTGTTTAAAAAGAAACCAGATTCACAGACTCTACCGTAGACCTCATTAACAACCTGAGATACGCAGAAGACACAACTTTGCTTGCTGAAAGTGAAGATGACTTGGAGCACTTACTGATGAACATTAAAGACTACAGTTTGCAGTGTGGATTACACCTCAATATAAAGAAAACAAAAATCCTCACAGCTGGACCAATAAGCAGCATCACTATAGATGGAGAAAAGATTGAAGTTGTCAAACACTTCATATTACTTGGTTCTACAATCAATGCCAATGGAAGCATCAGTCAAGACATCAAAAGATGTATTGCATTGGGCAAATCTGTGACAAAAGGCCTCTTTCAGGTGCTGAAGAGCAAAGATATCTCCTCGAAGACTAAGATGCCCCTAACCCAAGCCATGGTATTTTCAGATTGCCTCATATGCATGTAAGAGCTGGACAGTGAATAAGGAAGACCAAAGAAGAGTTGATGCTTTTGAGTTGTGGTGTTGGCAAAGAATGCTGAAAGTGTCATGGACTGCTAAAAGAACTAACAAACCCGTCCTGGAAGAAATACAGCTGGAATGCTTCTTGGAAGCGAAAATGGCCAGACTTCACCTACTTTGGTCATGTTGTCAGAAGGGACCATTCTCTGGAGAAGGACATTGTTCTTGGTAAAGTGTAGGTTCAATGAAAGGAGAAGGCCCTCAACAAGATGGATTGCCACAGTGGCTGCAGCGATAAGCTCAGATATAGTAGGGATCATGAGGCTGGCACAGGAATGGGCAGTGTTTCATTCTGTGAGTTGGAGATGACTTGACTGCACATAATAACAGACAACAACAACCACCTTAGACGTACAGAAGCAGAATCTGTACTGTAACACATCCTTAAGGGATTTGTGTAAAAGTTTAAGAAGCAGAAATTCATGCTTATATGAACCAGGAGGCATGTATAGAAATGTCCATAGCAACATTGTTCATAATAGCCCCAAATAGGAAAAAATCCAAATGTCTGTCAACAGTAGAATGAAGAAATTAATTGTGGCATATTCTCACAACAGAAAACTTTCAGCAGCTATCATAGTGAGGTATAGCTACATGAAACAACATGAACAAATTTCATGAACATTGTGAATGAAAGAAGCAAGACATTATATGACTTGGGTGGTAATTATAAAGGTATTTTATTTGTTAACATGTAAATGATACATAGTTTTTGTATTTGTTATATTTTAGAATTAAGGGAAAAGTAGAAACAAAGTAAAAAAAAAAAAAAGTTAATTATTTGGAAACACCAGTGCCTTAAAGGAGAATAATGCACTTTAATTCCTGAGAGTGGGTTTGGTAGGGAGAAGAAGGGGACCTCAGGATTAGAGCAGATGTCCCCTTGAAATGGGGAAAATGTTCTGAGATAGGAGGCACGGGAGGACACCACTAGGAGCCTTCGTGGCACAGTGATTAAGCATTTGCTGCTAACCGAATGGTCAGGGGTTTAAACCCACTAGCTGCTCTGTGAGAAAAAGATGTAACAGTCTGCTTCCATGAAGATTTGCAGCTTTGGAAATCCTATAGGGCAGTTTACTGTGTCCTGCAGGGTTGCTATGAGGTGGAATAAACTTGATGGCCATGAGTTTGATTTTTCTGGTTGGAGAGCAGCCACCTTGACAGGTAATCTTGGCCTGTGGCTGGTCCTGTGACCTGGAGTCCTTTCCTCAGCTCCTATCTGCCAGTCTCTACTGATGGACAGGATTGTGCTGCGAGATGGTGGAAGGAGGTATAGTGAGCCCTGTTTGCTTGTAGAAAGGGCTTTGAAGCCCGAGTGTTTCCACCTCTGGGCAGACAGTGAGATTGTTGTCTTGTTAGTGTAGGAGCACAACAGTTGCTGTGTGGGTCTCGGCATAAGAGGGGCTTTGTTCACAGAAACAAATAAAGGGACAAATTTTTGGCATCCTTGTTTGAGCCACTTTTCTCTGCAAATAACTGATACAGTAAGAAGTTTGTAAATACTGAGTGTAGTGGTTAACCTTTCTCAGGCTGGCTCTCATGCTCCCAAGGGCAGCTTCCAAATGGAACAATTTCCTATGGAACATTGGTTATATATGAAAATTACTTTCAAAATCTCAGAGAGTTTTCAGTAATGAAACACAGTTTCCTGACATCTCATCATGCTGAAATGTAGAGTGGAAGCATGCTACCCACTGTAGAGAAGAGTCACCTGGCTGATATTAATCCATTCTCTTTAGGCAAAGCCGTTACCACCACATCCGCAATGTCAGAGAAAGTCCGGACCAGGTTGGAGGAGCTGGATGACTTTGAGGAGGTGAGCGAATCCTTTGTGGAGCAGAAAGTCCACGGAGGAGTGATGCTGTCGCTTCTGCCAAGTTAGATCCATCTAGGTGGCTTCTCTTTGATGAATTTTTGATCATGCTTATCAGAGGAGGCCTGCGTGCTGTGCTTGCGCCCCCTGGGACTCTGACATGGTCCAGGGAAAGGGGCCAGCAGTGCAGGTGGATGAGCTCGTGGGAGCTTTCTGAAGGCATCGTTTCTCATTGTGATGCCTGAGCAGACTCAGGTCATCTGGGGACAGTGTCTAATGGGAAAAGCCAGCTGCACTCATCTCCCTTGGAAGTATAAAGATCATACCTTGCAACAAAAGTTGCACCTGGCTGCTCTACTGCCTGGATATGGCCCACAGCAGTCTTTTAATCGGCTGGCTTATACTTTTTAAAGATTTGAGTAATTTGCCAACTGTTTTTTTTTTTTTTTTAATGCTAAATCTACCATGCAAATATAAAATTCTGGCCTCTTGAAAAATTTGAGCTGGCAACTCTGGGCCCACATTGTTGCATTTAACGAGGACATGCACAATCCAGATAGCCCCAGTACTCCTTGTCCGGTTCACTCCCGGTTATTACGAGCCTGGCTAGTGAAAACAGCTGAGGTGCGTCCTCTGCAATATCACTTAGGCAGACAGCATAGCCTGCTGTGTAAGAGCAAAAACTCTAGAGCCAGACTGCCTGGGCTTGAATGCCAGCTTTACCATTTGGTGATTCTGAGACTTTGAACAAGGTGCTGGACTACTCTGTGCCTGAGTTTACTTATCTGTAAAATGGGGATGATAAGTAGTGCCTACCTCATAGGCTTGTTACAGGGATTAACTGAGTTACTATACATGAAGTGCTTAGAATAACATCTAGCATGTTGTATATGCTACTTATATCTTAGCAGTCACCATCATTACCTTGAGTCTGGAGGCCTTAACTCAGCTGCTTACTTACAAAGTGGCCTTGGGCATTGACCTATTTCCTCATTTCTGAAATGGGAATAAAGAATAGTTGTGTGGATTGTGAGAATGCCCTGAAAACCACAGTAGCAGTGGCCGTTGCTCTGTCCTGCATCTTGCCCCTTGGTTCAAGGATCCTCCAGCTCTGAGATCAGAGCTGTTGGGGCTCAGCAGAGTCAATATCTCACCTACGTCTCAATCCAGATCTGAGAAGTATTGAATTAGGGTGAAAGAGAACCTTAGACTGCGTATCATCTGCCTACTTTGGCTGATAATAAGGGAATTGCTGAAGATTTGAATCACAGCACTATAGTCTAGGACTATCTGAATGTTACTTGAATGGGCCTACATTGAAAATGGAGGTTTTATTGGAAGGATACAGGGGTGTTTCTGAACCCAAGGACACAACAACCTGGATCCAGGAACTCAAAAGCTGGCCAAAGACTTGGCAGCTGCCCTCTGTCTCTCTCTTTGTGTGTGTGCAGCCTCCTGTCTCTGATTTTCTACTGCTCCTTTCTTTATTGTCTGCTGAGTGGTTGCTTTGCTTCTCCCTGCTCACAGTGCAGCTGATTGCCCCCTTGCTTCCAGTTTATATCTTATTAGCATAAGGCTAGGAGATGCCATGGTAACAGATCAACCTCAGATCTCCGAGGCTTAACGTAACAGTGCTTTATTTCTTGTTCACATTTTATGTTCAGTGAGAGTGACAGGCACAGCACCATTTTATGATACTGCCATCTCAAGTTTGTCATGGCAGGCTGCAGAGCAGAGTACTTTTCATGGCCTCAGCTCAGAAGGGCCACACGCCACTTCTCCTCACAGCCCATTGGCCCAAACTAGTCTTGTGGCTCCTCCTACTGCACAGGGACAGGGTAGCCCATATCCTATATTTCCTAGTTCATGTGGCCAAGTATAATCAGTCCAAATTCCCTGAACCTCTATTCTTATTTCTTTAATAGTGTTTCACTTTGGATTTCAGGGAATGTTCATATAAAGAAGATTTGGTTTGGTTTTTGATCTCCTCATGTGTGTTAGCAGGACTCTCACACATATGAGCTGTGCATTGAACACTAGCTTGGAGTCAGTGAACACTTACTGTGCACCAGGGACAGTGCTGAATCTTTACATACATTGTTATTTAATCCATGTGAGGAGCTTACTCTCTTCTGCCATGAGTCTTTGCTGTGGATTTCCATCTGTCCAGAATGTTCTCTCCCTGTTGCCTCCTGGCTTAGGTAACACCTGTACCGCTGAGTGCTCATCCTCTGAGGAGCTTCTCTTCCTCCAGGAAGCCATGCTGACCCCAGTCTGGAGGCCATTCATTTGCTACCATATGTTTTCTATTCTGAGATGACTCTCTTTTCTCCCACATTTTAATATCTCTGAAATTGGGCTCTATCTCTCACTTGATGCATGTTGGGGATCAGCAATTTTTCTTTCCTGGTGTTTCATTCTGAAGCTGTGGTAGCACAGGGGTTAAGCCTGTTCAAACCCACCAGTTGCTCTGCAGAAGAAAGATGTGGCAGTCTGCTTCTGTAAAGATTTACAGCCTTGGAAACTCTGTGGAGCAGTTCTCTAGCCTATAGCGTTGCTATGAGTCAGGTTCGGTTAAGTGGCAGTGGATTGGTTGGTTAGTTTTTTTTTATTTTAGTGAAATGGTTGTGCTTCTTACAATGAACTATGTTGTATGCTCTCATAGAATTATATTTTCCCTCTCAGTATTTATCTCAGTTTGTGTTAATGTCTGTCTCTTCTCTGTCCCTTAAGCTCTGTGAATGTAAAAATAATATATTTTTGCTCATCTTTGTACCTTGAGCACGAGCTTCGGGCCTGGCACACTTGGTAGCCCCCAGTAACTTTTGGTGAATAGGGTAAGTGCTGTTATCCTCATTCTTAGATGAGAATGTGAGACTCAAGGAGGAAAGCAGCTTGCCCAGTATCATACAGCCAGTAAGTGGCTGAGCTGGGAATCAGCTTAGGTCTGACTTGCCTCTAAGGCCAGTCTCTCATCCACTATGTTCTGCCCATCACTAGGTAAAACTCAAAGAACCTCTTTGATTGCAGACAAAAGAGTCCTTCCTGGTGGGGTCATGAGGAAAAATTAAGAGACTAAAGCTCTGTCAGAGCCAGTATTCTTCATAGAGGGTAGTGGTTGAATAATGTTTTTCCTTCATGTCTATATCTTCCAACTTTCCGTCCACAGGGATCCCAAAAGGAGCTGTTGAACTTGACTCAACAGGATTATGTCAATCGCATAGAAGAGCTCAACCAGTCGCTGAAGGACGCCTGGGCCTCGGACCAGAAAGTGAAAGCTCTAAAAATAGTCATCCAGGTCAGGACTAATGATTTTTTTCCCCTAGAAATTCCTATGTAAAATTCTTTTGGGTAATTGGAATTTTAAGAGGTCTGTCTTTAGGGTTTTACCCTATTTTTTCCATTTGTTCCATTTTCACATACTTCCTGTGAAAGGCCATGATTATGAATCCTGTTTTTGTGAGATGGGTCGTTGCACAGGTTGTGCACTGCACCATCCAGGAAGCACCTGTTACCCTAGATTACAGTGTAAATTATGCTTCCTGGAGCTATGCAGCGCAGTGGCTCTGGTATAACCTCTGATGCATTTACAATTTATACAGACTAAAGATTGGGCAACATTTTGGGGAATTTTCCTTGACCAGATTGGCTTTGTATCTTTGCGACGAATGGCTGTGGTTCCCTGATTTCTGCATTTTTTAGGCATATTCTGCATAATTATATGTTGAGGAAAGCAAGTTTACAGTGTTAGGAGAGGTACAGTTGTTGAACTGATAAATCTTGGCTCATGAGAGCAACTTATATAATGAAAACAGTTTATTCTGTTTCTTGACCCTTAAGATCATCTTATCTTGGCAAAGCATGCCTTGAGGCACACTGTAAAAGGATCAACTCCTGCATTATCCTTTTCAGAGCAGTTAATGAAGGATTTCTGTACAGCCATTTTAATTCAGAAGGCACATCCCATTCTTATTTGATGGCATGATAGCTTGATGTTTGTTTTCTCACCTTTCTTTTGAGGGAGGGTTAGGAGTGTCTGGGAGCCTTTACACTGGATACTTGAAGTCTTCTAAGATGACTCTTTGTGTCTTGTGGGCTGATTTTTGTATTTCATAGCAGGAGACAAACCCAAGCCTGTTTTCCTTCCTTCACTGTTGTTAGTTTACAAAGTAAATATTCTTGAAGAAGAACCTATCATCCTGGGTGCATGTGATGGGAACTATTTGCTGAGGGGCTCCAAAGAGAAAATATCTAACTAACAAGCATTCCTCCAAAATATTGTTATTGGCAACATCTCCCCATAGATTGTTGTAGTTTAGAGCTGTGACTTCTAAGAGTTTCACATCTGGGGGAGATTTGATTCATGTCTTCTCAAAGAAAATAATTTTTAATTATTTTTATTTTAACTTAATTAAGTCCACATCTGGTTAATAGTAACTACTCTACTTTCCAAACTTTAAAGACTGTCTTCATTCAAAAAACCTAGTCAAGGTGCAGAGTTCAGGGAAATGAGCACAGTTCACCTTACTTGCTTTACAGTTAAGTTTTTTGTTTTTGTTCAGGGACAGTTTTATTAAGGTATATTTTATGTACCATAAAATTCACGCACTGTAAGTCTAAAACTCAGTTGTTTTTAGTAAACTGAAGCTTGTGTAATCATCACAATCTCATTTTAGGACATTTTCATACTCCTAGAAAATTCCCTCAAACTTGGTTGCAGTCCACCCCTATTCCCACCCTCTGGCGTGGACAACCACTGATCTGCTTTCTGTCTCTATAGATCTGCCTTTCCTGTATACTTCATATAAATAGAATTATTCAGGACATAGGTTTTTTGGTATCTGGCTTCTTTCACATGGCATAACTTTGAAAGGTTCATCCAAATTGTACCTTTTATCAGTACTTCATTCCTTTTTATAGCTAAATAATATTCAATTATATAGCTGTATCACATTTTGTTTGTTCACAAGTTGATGGAAATTTGAGTTGTTTCTACTTTCTGGCTATTATGAATAATGCTGCTATGAACATTGATTGACATAGAAGCCTTTTTGTGGACATTATTTTCATTTTTTGAGGATGGATTACTAGGAGTGGAATTGCTGAGTCCTGTGGTAAGTTTTAAGGAGCTCTTGGTAGTGCAGTGCCTAAGGCATTTGACTGCTAACCAGAAGTTTGGCGGTTCAAACCTACCAGTCACTCTGTGGAAGGAAGGTGGGGCAGTCTACTTCCCTGAAGATTTACCATCTTGGAAACCCAATGGGGATTGCTGTGAGTCAGAATTGACTTGATGGCAATGGGTTTGCTTTGGGTGGTGAGTTTATGTTTAACTTTAAAATACCGCCAAACTGTTTTCCAGAGTGGCGACACCATTTTACATTCCTCCCAGCACTGAGTGAGAGAGTTCCAGTTTCTCATTGTTCTCACCTGTCTTTTTTGTCTTTAGGTAATTTTTACTGTAGTGAAGTGTATATTTAAAAATTGTTATTATCACTATTTTTAAGTGTACAGTTCAGTGACATTAATTGTATTTGTGCAGCCATCACTGCTCTCTATTTCCAAAAGTTTTTCATCACCTTAAACAGAAACTCAGTACTCTTTAAATGCTAACTGCCTACTTCTTCTCCCCAACAAGCTGTGGTTCTCCCCAGAAGGTAGACGGTTCAAACCTACCAGCTGCTCCACGAGAGGACGATGAGACAATCTACTTCTATAAAGATTTACTGCCTTGGAAACCTAATGGGGGTCCCTATGAGTTGGAATTGACTCGGTGGCTGTGGATTTGATTTTGGTTTTTGGTCTCCCTCTCTCTAATCTCTTGTAATCATTAATAAACTTTGATCTCTACGTACATTTGCTTTTTCTACTATCTCATGTAAGTGGGATCATGTAATATTTGCCATTTTGTGTTTGACTTATTTCACTCAACATAAGGTTTTCAGGGCTTCTTCAGGTCATAGAATGTAGCGGGACTTCATTTCTCTTTGTGGTTTAATAATAATCCATTGTATGGATATATCATATTTTGTTTGTCCATTCATTTGTTGCTGGACGCTTGGGTTGTTTCCACCTTTTGGGTGAATACTGTTGCAGTTAATGTTGGTATACAGGTATCTGTTTGAGTCCATATTTTCAAGTCTTTTGGGTATATACATAGGAGGGAAAATGCTGGGTCATATGGTAGTTCTGTGTTCAACTTTTTGAGGAACTGCCAAACTCTTTACTATAATGACTGGAACATTTTACATTCCCACTAACATCTGTTGTTTTGGTTGTAGCCATTTTAACTGATCTATAGTAGTATCTCACTGTGGTTTTAATTTGCATTTCCCTAATGACTATTGAGGGAGCTCTGGTGGTGTAGTGCCTAAGGCATTTGACTGCTAACAGGAAGGCTGGCAGTTTAAACTCACCAGCCACTCCTCCAAAGGAAGGTTGGGCAGTCTACTTCCATAGTGATACTACCTTGTGGTGTCCCTAGGAGTCAGGTCCAACACAGCACACAACAACAACAACAACAACAACATTATTAGTGAGTTTTAACTGATAGGTTTTTTATATATTCTCTATATAAGTCTAATATCAAATGTATGATTTGCAAGTATTTTCTCCCAGGCTGTGGTTTGTCCTTTAATTTTCATAATGATATCTTATGAAGTGCAAAAGTTATTAATTAAATAAAATACACAGTGATGGAGGTGCTCACTCATTTATGCCAAGAAATTTGGAAGACAGCTACCTGGCCAACCAGCTGGAAGAGGTCCATATTTGTGCCCATTCCAAAGAAAAGTGATCCAACAGAATGTAGAAATTATTGAACAATACCATTAATATCAGAAACCAAGTAGAATTTTGCTGAAGATGAAACCTAGTAAAGTAAAAACTATTTCCCCCACCCTGGCACCTGGATGAGAATAGATAAGTAAACATAAATAAACTAAATTACCTCCAACTATTTTCCCACCCAAGGCAGATGAGTAAGTATTCAGTTAAAGAACTGAATGGAAAACATTCCTTCCTGCAGATGATAGATGATACTTGCTAAAAGTATTTTAGAAATAACTTGTAAATTAACTCTGGCCAGGGACAATAGAAATGTTTTAGAAACAACTTGTAAATGAACTCTGGCCTGAGGACATAAGGGAACAAAAGTTAATTGCTGATCCTCTGCCTCTGCCTAAGCCCCTATCAGCTGATAACAAGAAACTAATGACTCATCCATCACCAATTTCATGTTCACGCCCCAAATTCCTCAACCTTTTGTGAATATGCACAACCTCCTCTCCTGAAACCTACAAAAACTGTGTTTGGTGGCATCTCTGGTACTTACTACCCCTAACTCCTTGCACTGCTGCTGTACAATAAATAATTTTCTCTCCTCTCAATCTCGGTGTGTAAACTGTTTTGGCCTGACTGGGCACCTGGCAGGGACCCACGTTTGGCCCAGTAACAAAGACAGTTAAAAAATGGTTGTAGTGGTATATTGACAGGAAACTGCTAGAAATTCAGGGTGAATTCAGAAGTGGGTATGGAATAAAGGATAACCATTGCTGATGTCAGACTGACCTTTTGGCTGAAAGCAAAGAATACCAGAAAGATGTTTACCTTTGTTTTCTTGACTATGCAAAGTCATTTGTCTGTGTGGATCATAACAAATTATGGATAGCATTGAGAAGAATACGAATTCCAGAACATGTAATTGTGCTCATGTAAGCAAACAAACTTCTTGCCATCAAGTAGATTCTGATTCATAGTGCCCCCCTTGGGTTTCCAAGGCTATAAATCTACGGAAGTAGACTGCCTTATCTTTTTTCTGTGGAGTGGCTGGTGGGTTTGAACCACCAGCCTTTTGGTTAACAGCCAAATACCTTAGCCACTTTACCACCAGAGCTCCTTAAATTAAATTGTGCTTATGAGGAACCTTTAATAGACCAAGAGGCAGTCGTTCAAACAGAACAAGGGGATACTGAATGCTTTAAAATCAGGAAAGGTGTGCATCAGAATTGTATCCTTTTACCATATTTATTCAATATTTGTGCTGAGCAAATACCCAAGAAGCTAGACTATATGAAAAACGTGGTATCAGGATTGGAGACTCGATTAACAACCTGCACTATGCAAATGACATAACCATGCTTGCTGAAGGTGAAGATGATTTGAAGCACTTACTGATAAAGATCAAAGACTAAAGCTTTCAGTTTGCATTACACTTCAACCTAAAACAAAAATCTTCACAACTGGACCAGTAAGCAGCATCACAATAAATGGAGGAAAGATTGAAGTTGTCAGAGATTTCAT